ATATAGCCAAATAACAATAAAATCTGCAATTATGTTGACTGTTTGGAAGGCTGCCCAGTACAAAGCCTTGTTTTAAAGTTTGAAAGAGCTGCGAGAAGGGCTTAGGAGCCTGAATGTGTCTGTCAACTGTTCACAGTATATGGGCAACAGACCGACCAGATACACAAGTCACAGCCTTCTTCACTGTGGTGAGAGCCACTGTATTTAAATGATACAATTCTTTCTAAATGTCTCAGTGCATGCATGTATGCATTTTTATGCAAATCAGCACTTTCTTTTCCTTTTTAGTGATGAATTTCCACTTGTTTGGCAATGCAGAAGTGGCCAATGCTATAAATATCTTTCCAGCCTTCTCTTGGAAAGTATTTTTTGTAAACACAAATGCTGCTCTCAGTGCTGGTCTTTCAGTATCCAAAACAACAGCATCCCTACTCAGGAGGGAGAAATCAGAACAACCCCTAGGGGGTGAAGGGGAACACTCTCCTCCACCCACATCCCAATACTGCTTTTGCTGACTGATTGCTGTGTGTATTTGTGTGGGAGAACAGGGGGAATGGAATGCGTGGAATCCTAAGCTGCAGCACCTCATACTGCAACAATTTGTTGTAGGGCTGATTTGGTATTAGTCACATGGACTTCCCCACCCATCCCCCAAGAAGCTCAGAGAACTAAGGACAGCCCTGCATGGGTGGATGAAAGGTTCCGCATACTTCCTTCCAGGCATGTTGGACTGCAGCCCTGATCATTCCTAGCCAACACGGTCCTGGGAATGGTAGGAGCCACAGTCAAACTCATCTGGAAGGCACGGATTTGGAGGAAGCTGAACTAGCCAGATGCTTCTAGCAAGTTCACAGGCACAGCCAGAAGGCAATAGCCCTCCAGTGCCTTTTGCCTCGTCATCCATTGCCCACAGATTTCATTTAGATCTTACAGCCAACACGGATTGCTAAATTGGGCTCCTGCATGCGGTATTGTAGCCTCACAGCAACCTGTCAAGTCATATAGGTCAAACAACGTGCCCACAGCCATCTGGTATGAAGGGATGTGAGTGCTGATTCTAAGTCCAATTTGGATCAGGACCATAAAGTCTTCCATAAGGTGGGACCAAAACACCTGAAGGAGAGACTCTCTGCCCACACACTGATCTTTGAAGGCCCCTTCCAATTGTCCACTCCAAGGGAAGTTTGGAGGATGGGCCAAAGGAGATGGACTTTTTGGTGGTCGCCTCCAGTTGCTGAATGCCCTCCCTAGTGAAGTTCCTGGGTGCCAAGACTGTCATCTTTTTGCTGTAAGGCCTAAGATCTTCTGCTCCTAGACATTTGATAGCATATGATTAAGTTCTTAATGGAAATTGATTTTTTTTTTTACTGATGGTAGTTTAATATAGTTTTATATTTTTGTGTGCAAGTGATTTACAATATTTTGTTACATTTAAAAGGTTTTAAACTTTCTAAACTTCCCGGAGAGCTTTCATTATTGAGCAGTATAGAAATCTAATAAATGAAATGAAACGATCCTCGCACCTCCCCAGTACATGAAACTATCTTCCTGGAGTGAGCACTGAGATCCTACTGACTGCCCCGCCTTCCCCAACCTGATGTCCTCTGCATGTGCCACACTACAACTCCCATCACCACCACTGAGCACCCCCATTGGCCCTGTTGGCTGGGAGTGATGGGAGCTGCAGGCAACATGACTTTCCTTCCAGCTATTGCAAGGATTGCAGCAAGGCTTGGAGGCAACCAGGAAGTCTAAGGAGGTTAGAGTGGTGGATGAAGTCACCATTGCCACAGATGAAAGGGTCCTGGTGCTTCCACCCTGTGAGCCTGGGCTCTGCCACATCCCTGGCCCACACATCCAAAGGGCTCCAGTTTAGAGAAGACTACACTACCCTGCCACCCATCAAAGTCCCCCCTCCCCCCTTTAACCACATAAAGAAGTCTACAAAAGTTAGTCGCCTGCAAAATGGCTTTACCAGCCTGCTGGGGAGCTCTGTCCACTTTGCAAGATCCCAGTACATTTCTATGCTGGGTCCCATGGAGGGTTTTCTTCTCTGCCAGCCCAGTTGGCTTCTATGCCTTCTGTTGGGAGGGAACACAGAGCTCTGCCTTCTGTCCTCCACTTACTCGCCTGTACAGAATTCCTGGTCATCAAATGTTGAAATAAAATGATCCTGTGAATTGGGTAGAGATGTAACTCTTTCTCCACCACTGGGGAAAATAACTTTTTTATTCTGCATCTATGTAGTTTTGCTTGATAATCAACAATCTGTTTCTTCCCCACCCCACACTTTGAACCCACATAATAGTTTACTTCCATCCCCCTACATCAATCCATCTTACATAAATTCCCAGCTTTTGTTCTTTTCAACTCTTTCTCTCTCTCCCTTTCTTGCATCCACCTATCTCTCTTCCTTCTTTCCTTTCCATCAGCCCCAGCAGGGATGGACAATGACCAGGGATGATAGGGACTGGAATCCCACAACATCCAGGCCACCACTGCCCCTTTATTGTTAGATCGCTTTTTCTCAAGGTGCTGAACTGCCCACTTTCTTTCTCCACACTCACTATCCATTTAGCCAGTGCTGTGGCCCCAGAACAATAATCTCCTCTACTTTCATCCACTTTCCTAACAGATCCATCCCTCTTCATCCCAGTCCAAATCTATTTTAACTAACTCTCCTCCACCTTTCTTTTGAGTTCTCTGTCTCCTGGGAATGTTAAGAAAGGTGGCCATCTCTGCCCAGGGTCTCAAACACATTTCTTTCCCAGCCGTATCTAGTGATGCTGTGGACTGAACCTGGAACCTTCCTCATGCAGTTTCCCCAGTCGTCTCCCCACTACTACCACACATGCACATGCCCTCTCACCCTCAAGAGTCTTAAGCTATCTGTAAAAAAAATCCGGATGGGTAGCTATATTTAGTTCGGTTGCAGCAAAAACTCATATTCTTTAACAACCCATAAATAGATTGCTGCACAAATATATTTTGAGCTTTTTAAGAGCTATTCAAGATGCTGAATTCCACCCCCAAAATAGGCTCACCACCATGGATATAAAGTTCAAAATAAAAGCTGCAGTGGATGAGAAGCCCCTCTGACTTGGGAGTCACCATCCGCTCTGCCTATATTTGAAATGCAAATGTTAAATCCTTCTTTCTCCTCTCAAAGGGTGATGTAAATGATGATTGCACATTGATATATTTTATGAAGAGTCTTTGTACCCACTATTCTTTGTGGTCCCCTCTTCTTGTTACTTTTGTTTGTCAGTGTTTCTTTAATTTATTATTGCTATTACATTAATATCCCACCTTTTTTATCTCTTGCAAGGTAACCAGAGGGGTGTGCATAGGATTCTTCCACTCTCTTTTATCTTCACAAAAACCACCCTGTTCTAGTTTAGGTTGAGTGTCCATGACTGGCCCAAAGATACCCTGTGAGCTTTATGGCGCAGTGGAGACCAGAACCTGAATCCTAGTCCAACACTCTAACCCCAACACCACACCAGCTCTCATCATGTTGTATTTTCAGATTTTAAAAAATAATTTTAAAAAATCTTTGCCTTCTGCTTATCCATTCTAACAGACACTGTCACTAATCATTCGCTTCTCTCCTCCACAACTGTTCGACCTTCCCTTCCAACCTTCCATCCCACTAGCACAATCTGTCCAAGCTTCTCTTCTCCTAACACAACCATCCCCAATTTGAAGTTCTCTGGAGTTTAGAACTTCAGTTCCCATCAGCCCCAGTTAACATAGCCAGTGGCCTGGAATCCTGGGATTTGTCATCCAAAACATCCAGAGGGGACCAAGTCCGAAAAGCTGCCCTAGTATGAGTGCCGCTTTACTATGCTTCCCCACCACCACCATCTTGCTCCCTTCCTAAGTTCTTCTATCTACTCCCAAATACAGAACAGAAAAGAGCCAGAATATCACACCATCCACTCTAGCATTTTTATTTCAAAGATTTCTGTTGTAAACTGCCCAGGCACCTTTGGCTACAGGTGGTATAGGAATGTAGTAGTAGCAGTAGTAGTACTAGTAGTAATACTACTACTAATAATAATATTAGTCTGCACCTCCTGGTGAAACTTAGCAGGTGAGGACACAAAAGCAGCTGCCCTGCCCCACTCTTATCCTGTTACCTCCAGAACATTTGATGTTTAAAAGAGGACGCACCTCCTTAGGGCTTCATGTCCCACTGACATGGCTGAAAATCTGACCCCACCAGCAATTTGCCTATCATTTTCCAACAAGTCTTCGGTTTCTGCCCTAGTGGCTACTCTCCCCACAGCTTGCAGCCATCAGCTCCATGTGTTAAAGACATTTTGCATCGATCAGTGTCCCTTTTCGGTTTGTTCTGAAGCTTTGGCAGGACAAGCCCTGTCTGTAGCTCAGGCGTATAATAGCTGCTTTGCAGACAGAAATTGCCATGATCAGTCCCAGACATCTCCAGGTAGAGCTGGAAAAGCTTTTGCCTGAAACCCTAGCAAACAGTCCCTGCCAGCCAGTGTGGGCAATACTGGGCTAGGTGAACCTTTGGTCTGATTGGTATGCAGCAGCTTCCCAGGTCCCTATCTTGTGTGACCCATCTTGTAATCTCTCTTTCCCAAGTTCACCTGCCCATGCTCTCTTTCTGTCCATCCAGCATCCTAACCTTTCTCTCCAATCATTCTGTGCTCCCTTCCCCATTCATCAGGACATTATTTGTGTTAAACACATTACACTGAAGTCTGCATATGAAACATCAGGCTTTTTATCTGCCCATTCATTCTCTGTCTTGCTCTCCTGCATCTTCCAGTATCCTCTGCTTGCTTCCCTGGTATGCCCCATTCGGCACAACACATCATTGCTTTTCCCAGCATAGCTCCGCACACTGAAACCTTCAAAAAGTGCACGCCAGCCTAATACTTTCAATGAACAGTTCTGCATGGTCTCTGTTGATCCCTCCTTCTTGCTCTTGGCCACTCTGATTTCCCCGAGAAGGTTCCCTCCTTACTTACAAAAGTTTGATGTTCAAGATGTGAGGGGAAGAGCAGCACTCGTCTGCTGCCTCTCTGTTTCGCTCCCTCTCTTCCACTCTCCCTCAGTGCGTCTCTCTCCTGCCCTGGAGAGAGGAGGCAAGAGCGTGCTGGCCGCTGGATTTCCTGGCTCAGCACAGCACTGGGGTGTGAGCAAGCATATGTGCATCACTTGTGCACGCCCCACACACACACACACACACACACAAGCACACAAAGCGAGTCATTCACTCCTTTGCTCCCTGCATAGTTTGGAAACAGAGGCAGGGCAGACGCTCAAGCACCATGAGATCATAATGGGACTTGCCGCTGATAACCATCTTGGCACAAAATGATAGATACTTCTAAAGCCTTCTTCTTCTAGCACACTTGCTCTTTAATCTCTGTGACACTTCCACAACCATTTCATTCACCCTCTTTTCTCTGATAGGTGGCCCCTATGCATTATGGACTTGGTCACTTTCTCAGGAAGCTTCTTTCTCCCCAGCTTTCTCCCACTTGTCACAGCTCTATACCGCGACTGAATGAATCTCCCACAAAGCTACGGCTTCTGCCGACAGCACATCCCATGCATTGCCTGCCCCATCAGAATGCCTCCACCTTCAGTCCATTTTCCTTCCCCCTGCTTCCAAATTTATAAATAATCTCAAGTTTTTTCTGTTGATATGTAGCCATTTACCCAGAATGCAACTTGGAACAATGCTGTGCTCTGACTAGAGATCAGCAAATCTGTCCATTGCGCTTTGTCCCAGGTTCAAAATTTTATTTATGTATTTATTAGATTTCTATACTGCCCAAAAGCTAGAGCTCTCTGGGCAGTTCACAACAATTAAAACCATAAACAACACTATAAAAGTTTAAATCAACAGTATAATAGAAGTACAAGCCAAAGTAAAAGCTAGCAGGCATGCACAAATTAAAGGATTCTACTAACTAAAGAACTGAAATTCCTGGGGAAATAGGAAGGTCTTCACCTGGTGCTTGAAAGCACCCAACACAGACACTCAGTGTGCCTCTCTGAGAAGCTCTTTCCACAACCAGGGTGCCAGCACAGAAAAGGCCCTCTTTTTAGTAGCTACCCACTTCATTCCCTTTCATCTCAAGTTGTTTCTCTCCCCAATAGGAAGAACTTTGTGACTTTTTATAAATTCTTATGAGAAATGAATAGAAAGCCATCTCACCCACTGTCCCAGCCAAATTCAGTAGGTACACCTGTTCCTGACATGGAGGGGACCATGTTATACAAGACTTGCCTGCCCAGTAACTGTTAAAGATGAGGAACCTGTCTGAAAGAAGAGGTGGCAATCGTAATACAACTGACTACCCATAGCCTAAAACCCAGACTTTAGAAGTGAGGTACTTAAAGCTTCTGGTCCTGAAGAGTCGAATCAATTTATCCCATGTTCAACTGTTTTAACTCTCAAATTCTTTCTTTCGGAAATGCAATTCTTTCTTTCCTAAGTGCAAATGCCAATTTGGTAAGTTCTTACAAGTATGAAATGAAATCCTTACCTCCTTACCCAGGATTTGGCACCAGCCAGTCTCAATAGTTGTGGCATCAAGATGATCACATGATACTTTTCTGTCATATGGCTGTAAAAACAGAAGCCAGTGAGAGGCACAAAGGTGGCAACCATAATACCAGTATGGTTGAATACTGCAGACTTTTAAAAGCAAAGCATGCTAACTAAGTCCTAGGTCTAGATAGGTGGAACACTTGGTTTTAGTTCCACTCATATGTTTCTCTCAAAAATGAAGAATTATGTAAATGTTGGGAACTTACTGTCAACTGGACTAAAATCCACACTGATCAGCACCAGCTGATCTAATTCACCACTAATACAGTAGAATAAGAGAGGATCAAAAACAGGCATTTAAGAACAAGACATTTGAAGTCTTGGGTCTGAAGGGATGAATCTGTTAATTTCTGTCTCTCTCATATTCAGACTAGCATACACGGCTTTAAAATGAATTTAGACAGATTCATGTAGGGCAAATTATACCAATGGCAATTCATCATGGCCACTTAATGGAACCTTCATATGCACATGTAGTATACCTTTGCCTGCACTGGCTGCCTCTATGCTTCTGAGTCCATGTGGTGAACAGGTCTTTCCCTCCAGCTTTTCCATTCCAGCAAACTCAGCTGGAACTTTAGAAGTGCAGTCCTTTGTTAAAGCCTAAGCGGTTACAAAACAGTATAAATCAAAGGCGCATTCTCTTTGAGATGTGGGAGAAGCCTCTGCATGTGAATAGCTGAATCCAAACTGAAACTTCCCCTCCTTCCCTCCCTTTAAGGAAAGCATCTGACTCAACACTCATGATGGCTCATGCTGCTTGAGGACTAGCCAGCAGAAATGCCAGACATCTCCTAACTGGTCCACTCATTTCAGCTCTTGTCTCCTGACTGGGTCAAGGAACTCCTTCCCAATCCCTGCTCCCCCACCCAGTTCTGAAATGTCTTCCTCCTTTTCCAAGGTGGGCTGGTTCTCACAGTCTGCCTGAGAATCTTTATTAGGTAACCTTGAGCCTGCCAAGTCATTGACCTGACTGAGTCCCCATGGCTCCTCCTCAAGATCAAATGAGTTTACCTAAGCAAGCCATAATGTATGAATACTGAAGCAGGGAATTCTGTAGAATTCTGTCTGCATTGGATAACATATCAGTTGCTTTTAATTGAGGTCCATTTGTGACATGCCATCAAGTTGTCTCTGACTTATGGCAGCCTATCAATGAATGTCTTCCAAAATGCCCTGCCCTCATTATCAATACTTTTAGCTGCTTCAAGTGTGTTAACTCTAGATATGCTGGCTCAGTTACCACATTTTCAGTTAACCATGGTTGACTTTGGTCTTCCTTTAAGCAAAAACTCTTAATTTAAAAGGGAAAGAAAAAAAATGCTGAGGTAAGAATGAATGAAATTTTGAAGAAAGAAATGTATATATAGCCAATAGGAAATATAGTGTTTGCTCTTATCTGCAGTTTCAGGCATCTGCCAGGGGGCTTGGAACTGACCCACGTGGATACATGGGTCCTGCTGCAATATGTTTTTATTATCCTGTGTTCTGATGTCTATTTTTAATGAACTGCCCAGAGTGCTTTGGCTGTTGGGAACTACAACACCAGCAACAGATTCAGGGGGTTCAGCAGCAATCAGGGAACATTCCCCTGGAATCCTGCTGGTGTCCTTCTCAGAGTCATTTGCAGACATAGGAGACAAGCTACAGCTGGCCGGCTAGATTTGACTTTCTTTGGAGAGAAGAGACTTATGAAGTTTTCAGAATGTGTTTTGGAATAGATAAGTAGATATTAGATCATTTCAGACTTCATCTCCCATCACGTGATTCCCAAACAACTTTTCGGAATGCTGCAGATTGCCCCTTCCAAAGCAAGAAACAACTCCAGCCTCAGAGGAAAAGATATATGATTATGGATCTCTTCTACACTCCAAGCCCTTTCCAGTTGCCTGGAAAGCTCCACAGTGGCTCCTTTGCCCCAAATTGGCATTGTGACCTCAGTAGGGAAGAAAATTTATTTTTATTTATTTATTTTCCGATTTATATCCTGCCTTTTTCCTACAAAGGGCTCAAGGCAGCTTACATCTCTTCCTCCATCTTATCCCCACAACAACAACCCTGTGAGGTAGGTTGGGCTGAGAATCTGTGACTGGCCCAAAGTCACCCAGTTGGCTCCATGGCTGAGTGGGGACTCGAACCCAGATCCTCTGAGTCCCAGCCCCATGCTCTTAACCACTACACCACACTGGCTCGAGGTGCAGAAGGGAGAGTATGTGGATTGTTTTCTAAACATTTTTATTCTCATGAGACTTTTCAATGAAATGATTTAATTTTTAGATCATGATGTTTTTTTAAATCTTTGTCTCCCAAACTGGTGCCTTCTAAATATTTTGGATTAAAACTCCCATCATAGCCAATAGTGGGAGTTGTAGTTAAATGTATAGAGAACACCAAGATAGGGAAGGCTGCTTTAAGCACTTCAATTGAATTATTCTTTCTGCCATCTGGATTGGTTCAAAAATTCTGGAAAGCGTCTTTTGTTTTAATTGTGGCTTCTGTAGCATTTTCATTATGTAATTATATTTACTGTGAATTACCTTGGGGCATATTTTTATAAGAAGCAGTATAGAAATGCCTTAAATTAAATCAAATCAAATTAAATTAAATTTAGCCAATTGTCAGCTCTCTTTTTCTGCTTCTTTTTCTGGCTTAGTCTGTTCCCAACCACTCACTTGCTGCTTTTTCTCTCTTGCTGTTCCGCTCACACTCTCTCTTCCTCACACACACCTTTTGCTTGCAAGTGCTGAGATGTGTTTCTTTCTCCAAAGTGTGATGGCCTTCCCATTTTGGGAATTGCCAATATTCTCCACACTTATTCCCATGTTCAGTTACGATATGTTTCCATTTCATTTGAACAGCAAAAGTACATCTTCTGAATGGGAATGTGTGCATTTTCAAAAAAGAGTTCATCCAAATACATACTCATCGTCCCTGCAGACTAAACCATGAAAATGCGCAGTATTGAATATTTTTGGAGCTTAAATGAAAATTAGGAAAAATGCAAGCTTTTTCTGAAAAAGCACTTGTGCTCATATTCACAAGCGCTCCAAAAGCAACCCAAACAAAATTCCCATACATTTGTATTCCCATTCAGACTTGATCTTCCAAGCAATGCTCCCATTGAAGAACCTCCAGTGAACTGTCCTAGACTACGAACAAGCAATTGCTCTAACCAAAGGAATGTTTGGCCAGTTGTAATAACGGGATAAGTCCAGGAGGGTCATGCAGCAAGGAGAACCACTGCAAAAATTGCTCCCTTGATCCACTGCAGCCCCCTGAGCACCCCACAGAGATGAAGGGGCAGGGGAAGGGAGAGGATCAGGGTTCCTCAACATAATTTGAAATCATATTAACATAATGAGGACCCGTCAGAAGAAAAAAGATGGCAGCTTTATGTCAGCACCAACTACCCAGGGATTCAAACCCACACTTTTAATGAACAAAGCACTCAATGCCTGGGGCTGGTCAGCTTTCGCTTCTCCAGTATTTCAACTGTTTTAAACTCAAGTTTAAAAACTCTGATAAACCCTGAGAACTTTGATAAACTCTGAGGAAAAAATAAACTGGAATGAAATCTACACTGCACTCCTAAACAGCAGGATAATAAGGAAAGCAAGCCAAATACCTGGTGAAAGGGTACAGCGTTTGAGGTGTTTGAATCCTGAAAAAAAGAATGCAATTTAGAGGTGGCATGGCAGGGGAGTATAAAAGATGTTCATAAGGAGAGAATGGAAAGAGATCTGTTTTTCTATTGCTAAAATCTAGGGTTATCTAGTGAAATTGAAGGACAGTCAATTCAGGACAAGCAAAAGAAAAACTTTTAAGCCAAATGAATATGTGAAATTGGCTGCCATAAGTGATGATCACAGGAAGACAATGATTGTAAGCATGATTAGAGTTTACCAGCTAATAATTGCTAAATGAAAGCTGT